ATTGGAGAGCAGCGATATTATCAGACATCCAGTAGTTTCCAGGGATGGTCCCATCATCGAGTGATAAGTACCCGAATATATTCAGTCGGTAGTTCGACGTGACAATGACCACATCAGAGCGTGAAGTTAGACTTCCTCCATCGAAGGTTAGGTCTGAGCCGATGCCCTGGGAGAAGCCGCCGCCGTGGATCCAGAAGAGAACAGGCTTCAGCTGATCCTCGGGCACGTCCGCATCGCCCGGAAGAAAGGGGGTATATACATTTAAGTACAGACAGTCTTCGTCATTACCCCAAGGGTTCAAGCCATAGCTATTTCCATCAAAGTACCCAAATTGCAGACAGGCTGGGCTGTATTGTGTTGCATTGACGTAAGTCACATTGGTCGCATCCCAGGCTTCGGCATACTTGAAACGGCGTGTGCCAATTGGCGGCTGCGCAAACGGAATACCGGCAAATCTAAATGTCAAATGATCACGGAGACCCTCGAAGGTGATGTTTCCTGCCGTCGCATTGACCCGAGGGAAGGGGGAGTAATCGGTGTCGACACGGTCAACCAGTGGGGCCGAGTTTGTGCAGACAAAAGGCCACTCTCCATCCGAAGACAAATTTGCGGCGGGTGAGGTACCAGACAGTGTGACTGGTGTTCTGCAAGCAGTCCAGAGCAGCGTCTCCTCAGTTAGAGTACCCAGATACTGCCGGTACTGGAAGGACTGGCGGAAATGGTGCACGTCATCGCATCGTAGCAATTGCTCCTCATATTTGGCACAGATTGCTTCTGCCTGACCCCGCCGGGCAGGTGTATGCACTAGAAGAGCACTTGGTCGCTCTGCATGAGCAGTCCAGTTTCCGTCATTCTCAAACAAGAGGGTTGTGGGAGCGGATGAAGCTTTAGCCACAGCCGGGAGAACCAGCAGTAGCAGTGACGCCATGGCAGCCATCTTGAGCGGGGAATGCCTCATTCTGCAGTGATTGTTGTGGGCTAAGATGTCTGGCACCTGTTGCTTTTCCGTCCCAATTGTTGCCTTATATCTTGTCCACGCCCGCACATTTGATCTGTGAACCCCAATGAGGGAAAGACTCCGCAAGTTGGCGGCCGCAGAGGCCCTCATTTTGCGGGCAAACATCCAACAGGATCAAGCATTCGTTTCCGTCCTGCAGAGTTTCCCCCGCGTATCCCCGCAATTCGGGGATGGGCCGATATATTAGTCGGAACAACAACAATGAGGAATAAAGTATCGCCACAGCGAGGAGAACTGGATATATAAATTGTTCGACAAATGGTGATAATCCCCAACCATCAGATCATCTGAAAGCTTGGTTATTGCATGAGTAATGGCTATGACACTCCGGTTCCTGCATCTTGTCACTTCATTATTCACATTCTTCTCAGTCGCCTTGGGTAGTAATGACTGTTCCATTGAGACTTTTCAAGCTTTCTTGGATGCCAATGGTACCGCCGCGCGTGTAGTTTACGCCCGTTACTATGCAGAGAATTCCACTTTTGTGAATCCCAACATCAGCTCCGCCACCAATCCCACTCAATTGCCAGCAGCGTGTGCAATTCAGGTCAATGCGACGACGAATGTCGACACCCACTTCAGCTTTGGCGTCTTCCTGCCTGATACTTGGAATGAAAGGTTCTTGTAAGCGACTCTAATCCTTCCCAGAGGACACCCTGCATTGACTAAAAGTATATAGCCATGCTGCGCAGGAAGGTGAAGATATCAATTGGGTTGATATGGTATGTATCAGATCTTACTTTAGTTCCAATTGAGTTAAAGACTAATCTTCATCACCAGGCCGTTGGACTGCGTTATGGCTTCGCCTCTGTAGCCACTGACACGGGTCACACGGGCTCCGACATGGATGGAGTCTGGTGGAAGAACCCAGAGTCGATCAACGACTGGGCCTGGCGTGCCAACCACCTCACTAGTGTACTGGGCAAGTTCCTCGTCGAGAGTTTTTATGGCCAAAAGCCCAAATATAGCTACTTCGCCGGCTGCTCCACCGGTGGGCGGCAGGCCATGAAAGAGACACAGAAGTTTCCACGGGACTATGACGGAGTGATTGCTGCCTGCCCGGCATGGTGGACAACCCACCAACAGCTGTACAATCTCAAGCAGACGACCTATCAGGCACCTCAGGGATCAGCTCATACAATCCCGATGGAGATGTTTGCCGTCATCGGAGCAGAGGCAATCCGTCAGTGCGACCCTCAGGACGGACTGGTCGACAACATCATTTCCGATCCACTGGGATGTCATTTTGACTACCTGCCATTACTCTGTACTGAGGCCAAGAATACCAGTTGCTTGACCGGACCTCAGATAGAGACACTACATAAGATCTACAACGACTGGGTGGAAACCAATCAGACTTTCGTGTACACACATCCGCTATACGGAAGCGAAGCAATGTGGAATGAGAGCGGCGTTATCGGCAACGGCAGTGCCGGCAACGAAGACTCGCAGCTGTGGTATCCTCAACATATCCTCGGCCTTGCGAACTTCACTGTACAAGACTTCGATTATAGCGTGGTGCAATACGCCGATCAGACCGACCCGGGCGATTCATCCGCTGACAACTATGACCTGGCCGAGTTCTACCACCACGGAGGGAAGCTCATCCACTACCATGGTCATTCCGACGCCATTGTACCCCCCGGTATCGGCCTCTATTACCGCGACCACATGGCTGCCACGCTAGCGCCACAGGGTATTGATATCGATGACTTCTATCGCTTCTTCGCTATACCTGGCATGGAGTAAGTTTACACAGGACCAACATGGGATCACAAGCTAACAACTCCAGACATTGCTACCACACACCATCCACAATGGGTGCACCGTGGTATATCGCCGGACCGACGCAGGCGAGCACGCTGAGCCCGTCACTTTACAGTGTCCCCGGTTACCAAGATGCTAAGCACGATATCTTCCTGGCTTTGATTAACTGGGTTGAGAATGGTACTGCGCCCGACTACATTATCGGATCTCGCTTCAATAGTAGTGTTGAGTATACTTCGAACACTATCGACAAACAACGGCCGATATGCGCGTATCCCAAGCTGGCTCAGTATGTCGGTTCAGGAGACATTGATGATGCGGCCAATTTTGAGTGCAAGGCCCTGTATTAAATAATTCTCACGATCGATCCTTGAAAACGATTCTTGAAATCTACATTTGGGATTATGGAGAATGTATATTCATGCACGCGACGCGCAGACGCCAGTAGGAAGATGGTGCATTAGATCGCCCAGGTTGTAGCAATGCAAGGGTTCTGTCACCGCCATTAACATTTGGATGCCTGAGGTATAAATAAGCGGTTTGCTTTCATCTGCATTTCTTCTACGTTATTCTTCTCACTTTCACCTGCATTTTGTTTCCAGAATCATTTATTGTTACGTCGTCTTAGCGTAAGGACCACGTCCAATCTTCCGAATATCCGCGATGAGATACTCAAAGACAATGCAAAACGCATCATCATCCGAATGAAATCAGAAGGATCGGAGGACTGCCGGACCACCGCTTACAGAATTGTCGGTGAAGTTTTTCTCGACTGGAAACAGGACAACCGTATCTTGTTTCTCGCTATCCAAGTGTGGGGTAATCGGATTTTCGTCAACGTCGATGTCAATCGCGACAACTACAACTACGACACGGCGCACAAGGACCAGACCGTTCTTCCCGTATATGTGCTCCGAAGGCACAGGGGAAATTGGCACCTTATCCGATGGCCCCAAGAGAATAGATCCGTGGCTGTGCAGATAGTGGAACTGCATCGGGTTACTGGATATGGTGCGGAGATCCCATTCTACGAAAATCACAACTCGCGTGTTGTGCACGCCAATCCGCGCGAGTATGTCAAGTGATGTTTCACTTCTCTTTTCTCTTTTTTCCCCGAGTGTAGTGTCGCTAGACGACACTTTCTGCAATAAAAGAGGCCCCAAACAAGGATGAGGATGTGATACCATATCGTGCTATTGATGACTATGTGGGACAGAGGCAAGGGATACGAACGTCAAAGAGCACTTGTCCCAGACTTCCATTGCTTTAAGACACAGACGCCTTTCTCAGAAGTGTTGTGTGCGACAAATACGCCTGTCACCTCCAGCCAACGAAAGAAATGATATTCAGAGAAGCATCTGAGGCCGTGACGGCGGGTTGTCTATTGAAAATATTGAAATGCTCGCAGCGCAAGTCTAGACCAGCTCAACTACAGCCTGCCTATCAAGAACTGAGGCGGTTTTCTAGGAGAGAAACTCTCTCAAGGAATCAAAACAAGTCAACCCCATGGATATCTGACCATGTGAATTAGTCCGTTGCCACGGGTGGCTGTGATGGAGAAGACGTCGGGTCGCTACCGAACACGCACAATCTCAGAGCCCAAAATTCAGTCCCGAGACCATCGTGATGGAGAGGCTTGAGCATAGATACTTCCGGTAAAGAAAAGCAAGTTCGAAAATTCCAAGATCCATCAGAAGACAACTAGAACAAAGAGGGTGCGCTCCAGACTTTGAATAGGGGGTGGACCTAGAAGATGGATATACGAGCCTCTGTAAAAGACTTGAATGGGCAGCTGGACATGCATTGAAGTTATCCAATCGTGTGGCTCTAGTCGTCGGCTCTTCTGACCTCCCTTTATCAGACCAGAGGATGGATCCACTGCTCTGGTGATGCGGGTCAGCCTCAGCCCTCGTTATCGCCTATAATTTCCCGGGCGAACCCGCGGCTAGCAAGCGCTAGTAGATAGTATCTGAAAAGCCTACCAATGATAACCAGTACTTCTCGGCTAGAAAGCCCCGGTGGCGCAGAGCGCCAGCAGGTATATCTACGTTTTCGAGGTTCAAAAACCTGGCTAATCCTCCTGCTTTAGTTCGTCCATCAGCTCACGTCTTTGTTCCAGTCTTTCCAATGGGTCAGCAGTAGGAGCTGCGTCGATTTCTACCCGTCATTCATTTGATCACTTTGATTCAGTCGCTCATTTATAAAGACCTCTATCATGGGGCAATTGTTGACAACAAAATGGCTACCATACATGGGAGCACTAGCAATCCAAGGATTCGCAGCCACAATCCCGGTGGTAACAGTCGCACCCACTTCGGTTGTTACTGTAACGTCTACTTACTCCGATACGGTGACCAGCACTATTACAGGGGTTCTCCCAGTGACGACCGTTGAGACCACATGTACTCCTGGTAGTGTTGCTCCAGAGTCATGTAGCAATTCGATATGGTCGGCGAAAGGCTCCTACTGGCAAGAATGGTGCTCAGATTCATCTTTGGAAGGAGCACCATTTATGACCATTCATGGAGCAACCAGCCCTTATGAATGCTTCGTGTTTTGTGGCATCTATTCGAGCTGCCAAGGTCTCAATTGGGATGATAATGATGAGTGTGTGCTGCTCACAGACATCACGTCCACAGTGGAAGTGACTTCGTCTCATTGGGCCGCAATTGAACGTTTTTCAACCAACCCTTGCGTCGTCACCGTAACAGGCGCTTCTACCCAGCTTTCAACCGAGACAACGGTGATGGAATATACAACAACTTACACATCGACAATTACATTGTCGACGAGTGCTTCTGTCGCTTCCACTAGCCCTACATCCAGTGTTGCCACATCAACATATATCTCGAGTGTGTCAACATCAACGGCTTCGGCATGCACTGTTTCAGCTCTTCCTACCACCACAGATTGCGTCGACGGATACTATGTATACAATGAGGAATACTACCAAGTGCTTTGCAGCGATACCATGCGGAGCTATTCAGGCTTTCTCCCTAACTCCAGACAAGCCGACATCTGGGGCTGTATTGAGGTCTGCTCTACCTATTCGAACTGTATAGGAACATTCTGGTTTCTGGGAATCTGTTACTCGGAAAGTGGTGCTATCGACTATTCCTACGTGCCGTACGACTACAGCGACCCAGATAACAATGTTGTCGACTATATTGCCCTTCGTCTAGATGACAATCCTTGTGCAGTTACGACTTCTACTACTGTACCAACCTCTTCGACAATCCTATCTTCGTCCACACTTGCGTCCTCATCGGCCATATTGACTTCATCAAACCCTATAGACAAATCTACGCCAGTCGTGCCATCTGCATCAACTGCTTCCCCTTCCACTCTTTCAAGCGCCTCTCCGTCTCCTGTGACAACGAAATTGTCTACTTCATCGGTCCCGTTAATACGAACGTCCCCGGTCTCAAGCTTCAGGAGCTCTCCTTCTCTCGACTCCTCTGCTGTAGACTCAACAGTCCCAGTTTCCGTCCCCTTGAAGAGCTCTTCCGCACTTATACCAGTGCAACCGTCCACTTCTCCAGTGTTTCATTCATCTCATTCATCATCTGCGTCATTGCCGCTTCTTTCCAATTCTTTTATTTCTCAAAGCTCTATCAGCAACATTCCCGCAGCTTCCAGTCAAAGCACCCCTCCGTCAGCCCGGCGCACTACGACCATTTTTACAACCGAGACCCGTACCTCAGTCACTACGATCTGTCCTCTGAAGGCTACCAAAACGGCTTCCACTCTACAACCAGCAGATGTTACCTCCCCTGCCGCACCAAAGATGACGACTTCAACTGTCTTCACCACAAGGGTGTACACTATTACCGCCTGCCCTCCATGGGTCTCAAACTGTCCTGCCTCCGACAAGACAACCAGCTACACAACAGAGATCATTCCCCTGTATACTACTATGTGCCCTGTTTCCCTAGAAACAAGTGATGCATATGCCATCCCGACACAGACATCCAGCAACGGAGGCGTATCTACTGAACAGCCTCAGGCCCTCACTACATCCACTGTTTTCACTACCAAGGTGCATACCATGGCTGGGTGTCCACAACGAAGTCCCCACTGCGCAGCATCTGAGAAGACCACCTACTACACGACAGAAACAATCGCTGCATACACAACTATTTGCCCAGTTGCTGCAGAGGAGACGGGTACGCATGCCTCCGGCCAAGCGACAGCTATCGGGGAAGGGTCTATCGGACCGAGCAGTGAAAGACTCAGTACATCGACGGTCTACACAACCCGTGTCTACCCAACCACAGTCTGTCTATCATCTTCCACTACCTGTGCTGATACAGAGCGAACGACGTATTTCACGACAGAAACCGCCGTAGCATCAGTCAGTGTCATCACATCAGCAGCTGTTGATACTGCTGCAGACAATTCAGGTGCTCAAGTTACTCCTTCCGGAGGAGAATCCTCAGCGTCAACCATTACAGCCGTTCTCTACACAACAGAGGTGTACATGAATACAAAGGGAACGAAAACTTACTTTACCACCTCCACCATTCCGATAACCACAACCATGACCCCCACTGCCAGCGAAATACCGCAATTTTCACCTACCAGCGAAGCAAGATCGGCATTACTCGGACCACACAGTTCCCAGCAAGGGGTGTCGGGTGCATCTACCATTGGATCCGGTGCCGACGCAGACGGCCAAATTGGGGTCAGCGCCGAGTCTCAAGGATCATCCGGAGAGGGATCTTCCTCACCATCATCCAGCAATGGTGACTCCACTCACCTTGGCACAGCCGGTAGTCCTGGACCATCCCCTCACGTTTCGCCCTGGACTGTTTCTAGTGTCGGATCAGTTGTCAGCAGCAGTCTTAATGTTAGTTCTTGGAGCAATGGATCTCATTCTTTGGGTGTCCCGTCTCCTAGTCTCGGGCTCAATCGCCCTACCCTTGGAAGTATTGCTGGAAGTCACACTGCGTCTGTGTATGCCTCTGGTACATCTACGGTTGTCTCAGCGCAATACACCGGTTCTGCGGCAAGGAGTGCAGTATGGACTTGGCTCCCTTTTGTGGGTGTGGTTATAGGCTACTTTCTGTGATCAGTTACTAGATCAATTATGTTCTTCTGTTATTCATCTATAATAATCGAAATCCAAAGGTTCGACGTATAAAGACACATTCTACTTGCAGAAATAACGATAGCCCAACGCAGAAATTAGAAATAAGCCAGCGGTCGTCGCGCCTACACAAGCAACATTAATGGGCCTGTGCTTTGGTGCACACAATTCTGCAACAGTGTAGTTATTCCTCTCGAAAGCAAGACGATCTAATCCGTACCTCTTGGACTCCAGATGAAAGGAGATGAAGTTCTGTCGGAAAGAGAACCAGCACTTTGCAGCCAGCTGCGCATTGGGATCATCTTGAGTCTTGTTATTATCCTCCGGTGCATTGTTATCGGCAGGCATGTAACTTGTGAAAGCCCTATCCAAAGCGAAAACAATATTCTGCACATTTTCGAGTGTTTCGCAGAAGGTGTCTCGGAAAGTCCATAATTTCGAGCCAAACCTGGATGATCTGCCGGCTACTCTCCCGGCCCTTGTAGCTAGCAGAAGGTAGTTCCGTATCTCACCATCGAGGACCTCCTTCGGGTAAGAAAGTAGGTCGTTTGTGTAATCAATGAAGTTCCTCACGACGGGAGCAACTCCCAACCAGTAAGGAGAAGGGACCTCCTCGGTGCGAGAATACTTGAATATCGGCGGGATATAGTGAAACGAGATACCACTCATTGAACGAAGGTACCCCGGGAACGCTTCGGCCGCACACCACTCGGAGCTTGGGTGTGGCTTTCCGTGGGTTGTAAGATGGAGGGGCAAGTCCCCCTGCTCCATGCGGTATTCTATGGTACATGCCTCCGTGAACCCGCGGATAGCATTTGCTGAAAGGCTCCCGACCAGGGGGTCTTGGGACCCGAAGTATTCGGCACCTAGTTGTAGCCCGTGCGTAAGGACCGCTGTCCAAGGGCTAGCATCCGGAGGACTGTAGCCGTCATTACAGGAAAAGGAGGATAAGCGGTTGCGCTCTTCAGGACTGAGGAGAGTGTCGTCATCGCTTGCGAACAGGATGAGAGTAGTTATGGCCATAACTAGCTTTGTCTCATGCGAGCAATGGGCGTAGAAATATTCCCCGACTTGCGCAGAAGTGTCAACTAAAACTTTCAGAGCTTGAAGCTTCTCTGGGAACAAATGTGTCAGATGCTCTTGGACCCAATTATCGAGGTCATGTCGTAGACGTTCGTCAGCTGGTATGATCTGTTGCTGATGTTCTATTCCCTCAAGCAATAAAAACAGACATTTGCGTACACATTCAAATACTTCATTTCTTTGTTGATTACCGAGTTTGATTTCATCATGAAATTCTAGGCACTCGTATTCTGGCCTAGAAAGAGCTGAGAAAAAGTCGATCTTCATGTTGTAAATTAGAGGATAACCCCCAAGAGAGCAGAACTGAAGAGAGCAAAGGCGAGCACATGGTGTGATTTATGTTGGCCACCTAAGTAAGGTATGTCGGTCAGGATCGGAGATATCTTTGATCTTCTCCATTATCTAATGCGTGATAAGGAGAATAGTATCAGGGGCTAACCCTGTAGGATTCTCGAGGTTGAACTCAATAGTGAAGCTTATCAATTTACGGAATCGAAGATTGACCTTCGATTAGGTCAGGTGCTTGTTTCAGTACTGGAAAGACGTCATATGCTGAGTTGTCACTATTACATGATATTCCATCAGTGTGTGTAAATGGCAGGAGTACATGAAAATCTTTCAGATTGAACGAGGTACATATCTTGAATAAAGTATAATTTGGTGTATGAAATTCAGACCGGGGTCTGATACGCGGGATATATATTCCTCATTCAGCCTAGAACCGCAAGGGGGGCTATTCAAAGTTTCCTGATAGAGCATCAGGCATATATCTGTGCAACCCGGTTGATGAGCTAGTGAGAAGGTAGGCCAATGAGAACGTACCAACATCGGAAATATTTCGCATATAGATTTTATCATCTGCTAAGAAATGTTGTAGTAATCTGAAATTGACTCTGTTGTGCCTCGACGACCAATCCAGAATAATCTGAGTAGAGAAATTATATCACCAAGATTTCAGGAACTGGCTTGACTCGTGATAATAAGCAAAGCAAGGGACAACGGTTATGATAGCACAAATTTAGTCATCAGAACAGACCTTTACCTTTCGTTTGTTTCACTCAATGAGCTGGACGTTACACTGTGGAGGCCATGGGTTCTCATTAATGCGTCCAGCTTCCGCCATCCACTATATTAGAAAGGGGTGAAAGATGGATTCCTTCACTTCTGAGCAGGCTTATATATTGCATGTCGATTAAGGGAAGATTGACAGACCACGTAGAAACCACGCTTCACTGAGCTCACAATGGCAACCGCAGAACTAGCGACAGCAGCAGCAGCTATAACCCTACAAACCTTCTTGTCTCCGATCCCAGAAGTCTCCACTATAAAGATACTAAGCACCTACATTCTCGTGAACCTTGCAGCTGTAGCCTGGTCACTGAGAGCTAGCATTTTAGCAGACATCCCTCCACCACCCAGTATCGCATGGCTCAACCTCGTCTTCCTCTCCACAGCAACGTCATGGACAGTGATCCATCGGCTATACTTCTCCCCGCTTGCCTCCCTACCCGGACCCAAGCGTGCAGCAGTATCTAGACTCTGGGTAGCCAATCAATGTCGCTTAGGGCGCTCTGCCGCCTATCTGGAGGAAATTCATGAGGAGTACAATGCGGACATTGTTCGTGTCGGGCCGAACGAAGTGTCAATTATAGATGTCGAGGCTATCCAGGAAATCTATAAGGGCCAATATCCGCGAGGGTATTTCTATGAGCTTCGCGCTAGCATGGGCGAGAGAAACCTGAATTCGGAGCGAGATTATACGCATCATGGCGAATGGAGACGCTTATGGTAATCAATCTTTATGCATCGGTCAGTGGTGGTCGCGGTGCTGACAGTACTAGGGAGAAAGCTCTTTCTGCCAAAGAGCTTGTGAATTACGACGGTCGCTTGCAACATCATGTGGAGAAGTTTCTTCGGTTACTCAAGAATAGTGAGGGAAGAGATGTCAATACTATCAAGCTAACTGAGCGTTTCCAGGTTGATGTGTGAGGCGCAATCCACAGTAAAAATGATTTGCTTCATGACTGACATCGACTAGTATAATGGATGTGTTTTTCTCAAAGGATAGTCAAATTCAGGATAGTGAAGAAGATACCTTCCTTTCAAACTTTGTTCACAAGTATCTAGGCGTAGCTGGGGTCAGCAGCATGGCTTTCTTCATCTTCTCGAGTCTATTCAAGTCTAAAGCACTTCTAGGTCATTGCCTGTCTGCGGAACGTGGGCGAGATCCTTTCATGCTTGCCCAGCCCACCAGAAGCGAAAGCATTCGAAAGGGAAATAGAAGAGATAATAAGTGAAAGACGGATGAAGGTAGCGCCCCAGAAAGATTTCATCCACCATTTCATCACTGGTGGCCCTGCAGGGAGACATTGTACGCACAAAGAAGTCATCTCGAATGCCCAGGTAGCAGTGCTCGGAGGGTCCGACACGGCATGGTCACAATGAACCAAACGCTGCGATATCTTGCCACAAACCCAGTGGTACAAGCGAAGCTCAGAGCAGAACTAGATACCACATACAACGCAGGCGCTGAACTGACAGTCGAATCAACCCGCAAGCTTCCATATCTCAACGGAGTCCTAAATGAGGGTCTCAGACTAGGCAATCCAGCTCCTGTCGGGGTACCCGTGAAGACACCCCCTGGTGGTCTTCAGTTTGGGGACACGTATGTTCCTGGAAACGTCGAGGTAAAAGTACCCTTTCGGGTTACGTTGACTGACTCACGGTGGTTCCCCAAGGGGGATCGCTTCATCCCAGAGCGCTGGACTGGAGAGATGCCGGAGCTGGTTCGCGATCGTCGAGCCTTCACTCCCTTTGGCTATAGCGTGCACTCGTGCGTCGGGAAGCAGCTGGTTACGAATGAGTTGAAGATTCTTATCGCGAAGACTGTTCATGAATTCAACATCTTTGCCAGGGGATCAGTATGATGAGGATAAGTTCGTTGAAGGAACAAAGGAGTACATGGGTGCTCTGCTCCCGTCGCTGTACTTGAAGTTTGTTCCTAGGGTGGAGGGGAGACGTGCAAGTAGCTAAGCCGTGGGTGAAGATGTGTTGATTGCTACATTTGTGGACTCCAATTACAACTAAGATGTAAATGCGATGATTTTTGGGGTAATGTATTCGGATTAGTGACACAATTCACAGCAGGATCTACTAGGACAATTAACTTGAAACTGTAATTGTAAATCTTTCTTTTTGTTAATGCAAACAAGAACTTCAATGGTAGCTTACTAAATGCACGACAAGATCTAAGGAGCGGCAAGCATCAACAATCTAAACGTTAATGCTCATGGTTTATGACCCCAAAATCATCCGTCTCAACTCCTCTGTCTCCCCACTTTTATTGACCATATCCTGGAAGATGCCATCCTCTGTTTCTACCAACTCTGCAGGGCTTCCAAACTCTGCTGCAACACCATCCTTCATGACCAGAATGCGGTCAAAGTCGGCCACTGTACTGAGACGGTGAGCAATCACCAGCAGCGTGGTGTTCGTGAATGCCTCCCGAATGGATCGCTGGATCAGAATATCAGTCTCCATATCCACCGCGGAGGTAGCCTCATCGAGAATGAGGATCTTGGGGCGGGATAGAATAGCGCGCGCCAGACAAAGCAGCTGCTTCTGCCCCTGTGATAGGTTCGACCCGCCCGAAGCAACAGGCGAGGATAAGGACTGGAATATGTTGGTGTTTCCGATCTGCTCGGAAGCAGCAATGGTGGAACTAGCACCAGACTGATTACCCTGGTCGTCCTTCAATAGTGGTGTGCTACTTCCGGAGGGGATGAGGTGGACACGCGCCAAAGCTTCTCGGACTTCCTGGTCGCTGTATTGATTCAGGGGGTCGAGGTTGGACCGGATGGTACCGGAGAATAGAACAGGGTCTTGGGGAATGATGGCTAAGCGGGTACGGAGATCATGAAGTCGGATGTTGGCAATGTCGACTCCGTCGATGACGACACTGCCCTTGCGGGTGTCCAAGAAACGGAAAAGAGCAAGAGATAAAGTAGATTTGCCTGTCATTGTTAGTTGGATAAGGAAGAGGAGATGCTGCAGGCAACTTACCAGCACCTGTCCGGCCGACGACCCCAATTCTTTGGTTCGGCTCCGCAGTGAAGGTCAACCCCTTCAGGATCGATGGTAAACCTTGAGCGTAACCGACTTCAAGCTCGTCAACCTCTATTCTACCCGTCTCGGGCCAGCTGGCCCTAACGCTGGCGCCGTCTGGGTTCTCGATCCGCAAGTCTCGATACTCGAAGATGCGCTCTGTTGCATTCATGAACAGCTCAACTCTTGTCGAAATTTGGATAGTGAAGGCAGTCAAGAAAGTGAAGCTCAGTGCGAAGGAGAGGGCAAATCCAGCCAAGCTTGCATCGATACCTGGGGTGTTTATCACGAAGGCAGCCACAGTGGCTGGAAATAAAGCGGCCACAAATCCTACGTGAAGATGGAGCCAGCTGCCTAGATAGCAAGCATACCATGTGCAGGCGGCGTAAGTGTCGATGAGATCGTACATCCGTTTATTGAATTCTTCCGTTTTGGCAAATGCTCGTATTGTGGAAAGCCCAGTCAAGGATGCAGCAAAGTGTGATATGACCGGCGACTTGCTGTTGGATTCAATACGCCTGATGTTTCGCGCAGCAGCAAGGTAGCTCCGTGCTATGTAGGCGCAAGATGCCAGTAGCAAGATCGCAACTAAGACCATAAACGGGGAGATGAGAATGGCTGCAGCCAATATACCGACCAATTCCCAGAGCGTGATGGCAAAGTAATAGAACATCTGCGGGAGCTGTGAGTCCAAAAGGCCGAAGTCTCCGGTGAAACGGTTCAGAATTCTTCCCGTGGGAACTGTGTCGAACCATCGAAGAGGTGCATAGAATACGCTGTGTAGCATATCTTTGAATATTCTCCGTGATGCACGGACGGCTCCATAATACAGGTTGAATACCCGGCTGACGGCAACTATCACTGACAAGGTCGAAATGACGCAGTACAACCCCAGATAGAACCACAGACTCCGGTTCTGAACGTTGATCGGGAGACTGCTTGACCTGGCCATACAGACTGTATGCGTCGAATAGCCTGCCAACTGTATCTGCGGGTTGTTGTGTTGAGGGCATGATGTATACTGAGTCACCCCCTGCTCCTCGCCATAGGCATCTGCCCAGATCCTGATCCAGTAATTCCGAGCCAAAATCAATCCCTGGAACAACGCGAACAGACAAGAAAGGACTATCCAAAATGACCATCCTCCGGTCGCTTTAAGATACCCGGAATAGACTGACATCTCGACGCGACCCGTGGCTCTCTTCTCTGCCTCAATAAGCTTCTTCGGGGGGGGCTTGGGGGCAGTAGGAGCAGAGGCAGCCGGCACTGTAAGTTCCTCTTCTTCCTCAATCAAGATCTCCCTGTTTTCTGGTTCTTGGATAGAATCGAGTTCGCCATCCGCCTCTAGCTGGTCCACAAAACCTGCGTGTTTGAGAGTTCCGTCAGCGGAGAGACTAACAGCATATTTCGCTCCGGACAAGGCAAGCGACACATGGTGAGTGGCGACAATCCGAGTTCTGCCCACTGCGAGCTCGCCCATTACTGCGTTTTCATAGACATGCTTGCCCACATGAGCGTCGAGAGCGCTAAAGACATCGTCCATGATGAGGATTCCAGCGCGTGAATAGATGGCACGTGCCAGACTCAAACGCCATTTCTGTCCGCCACTGAGACTGATTCCCTGAGCGCCGACTTCAGTCTCATCACCATCCTCGAACAAGGCCAGATCGGTTGTCAGTGCACATGCTTGTAGCACCTTCTCATATCTGACCGGATCAAAGGGTAAACCAAAGAGGATATTGTTCTTGATCGTGGCATTCTCAATCCATGGAGTTTGGGAAACAAAGGCCATAGCCGTTGGCAGGATCCAGTTGCTCGCAGTTGCCTTGTTATCGAAGCGCTCCTGGGGACAGACATCTCGCGGGACATGGACGTAGCCACCCAGCACCTCCACCTCTCCCAAAATAGCCGCCAACAGTAAGGACTTTCCCGATCCCGTCGGGCCCGAGATAATACTGAGAGCGTTGTTCGGAAATACCAGGTTGAGATTTCGCAATGCGAAACGGTCGGCTGCTGCATCCTGAGCATCGCAAGGGAAGGTCACGGATGCATTATGGAACGAGATGACCTCTCCCGGATGTGTGTTTTCTTCTTGCTCTGGCGCGCGTAAAAACTTGTCGATTCTGTCGGCACTCACCTGGGCGGTGATAACAGATACTAACAAGTAAGGGATCCGCCCAACAATACCCTCAAGCTGGAGGAATAGACTGATCGCTGTGAACGCTACAGAAGGTAGCAAGCTTCCGTGAATGTACGAATATGTCGTAAGAGACAAAGCCGTCAGGAAAATGGGCGTAAATTCCGAGGCAACCGTCATGTAAATGTTATCGAGCCTGCTGCTCCACAGAACTGACAACTCCTCTTCACGTACAGTTTCGAGCTTGTCTGACCACACATCTTCGGCAGCGGAGAATTTGATTTGTCGGATACCATGCAGAGCTTCCGTAGTCATCGTGGTGCGTTTATCCCGGATGTCCATCAGGGCCTTCTGCTTCCTACCATAGCGCTTCGCTAGGTATTGGTTGATGGGGAAAAGAACCACAATACCTAGCAGGCCAGCGCACAAGCTTTCCCATCCGATGAGAAGCCACAAAAACGCCACTGTTACCAGCATTTTACCGATAATGTTCACACACTGGGAGCTTTCGGACGCAAAAATGGCGATTTGGTTGCAGTCGACCGCGAACATATTGATAATGTCTTGTTCGGACTTGGAGGGGCCATCCTGGCCCGACTGCGAGTAAAGAGCCATCAGTAAGGGAAACACACAAGATTCAGGGCGCTAATACCTCTTCAATCTCGCCTCCTTCAGCTTTCGGGGGGTCGGTACTCAATTTCTTTCTCAACAACTTACGATACACCAGCGAAGTCAGAGTCGACCGTAAGGCAACGACGATATAGCCTTTTTCCCACCACATAATACGCGAGTCCACCAGGGTGGAGCTCAAGGTGGCGATCCCAATCATCAGGACATATTTCCAAGCAGTCGGATCACGTACGTCTGCATTCTCTCGTGACTCCATGTATTGAAGAAGTTGCAAAGTTGCGAATGACGGCCCGACGTCGAAAAAATTGGAGATGAGAACCGCGGCCCATTGACGCAGAAGCTGGAGCCGAAACTGCCAAAAGATGCGGATCCACAGAGGTTGGGCGTCTGTCAAGGCCATGGCACAAAAATCGGTCGCGGCCTCCTTGGAACGGATAGCATGATTCATAGTCGGAAGAGCTTCAGATTCCAATGCTTCTTTGGCACCTTCTGACATGATCTCGGGAGCCCATTTGAATCTCAAACGAGTCCAGAGGCTGACGGTCATCTCTCGGTCTATTTCCTTGCCGTCATGGCCGAAGACCGCCGGGCGCCGTTCCACGCACCATATACCCGCGACCAGGGCCAGAAGGGTAGGCAGCTGCACTCCAGTCAGGATAGTGGTGACGCTAGTTCTACTCGCGTCGGAGACAATTTCGCCAGCGAGGACGGAAAAGGCAATAACCCCAATCAGAAGGATTGTTGGCTGTTTCCATATCACGCTGTCGAATTTCGCAACTGGGTGTGTCTGGGTGAGTGAGTCTGCAAATTGCACCAGCAAAAGTAGCTATGGAGTGTCAGCAATCCATTCCTAATGCAACCTCTCCGGTAGTGGTGGAATGTCGACGCACCCATGCTGGCGGCAGCAGCCAGATTCCCAGTGAAGCGGACCCCTTTGTCTCATGAATTCTAATTGCCGCAACGATCAAATTTGAAAAAGCCAGGCCCAGTCCACACAGACTCAGCAGAAAAATAACGATAAAAGGGCGTTGGTTTGACAATCGAGTGGTGGATTCTTTTGTGGCAATTCCATCTTTATCCTCATACCGAATGTCGTCGGGGTTTGCGTGTCTCCACCTCGCGTTGATCAATCTCTTGGCCGGCGAAATGGTCCCCAACGAAATCAGGACAAAGAGAACAACCGCCGCCTCTCCGGGGGCGATGGAAGGCACCATCGTTCGGACAGGATTTTTAGGGTTGGCGTTCTCTGGGTCGAGAATGGCAAGAAGAAGGGCCCTGGGTTTTTAAAGAAAGATGGAGAGAAGATGGCGAGCTAATTTCCTTGTGCATGGCGAACGGACGGCGCTACTGCAGTCAGCGAATACGATTAATCTGCCAGTGATAAGCCGCTCCCCCGCGCGTTGCCTGTCCGGGACTCCGACGGAGCTGAGGTGACTCAACGCGGTCGAAGGATGCCGATAAGAACCTGGATTTGCTCGGCATGACTCAAGAATGGATAAAATGAGTAAAATCTGGACTCTAATGGAAAGTGAGGCAGAAGCGGAGATCCAACGGGAAGAAAGAGAAAAATGCCGGGATATTCTGGCCGGCCATGTGAGGGAATCGCGCTGATTGGCCAGCTCGCGTCCGTTTGCGCGTTTCTCTCGCTGCCTGGGGCGGTCAGGGCTTTCGCAATGAGCACCTTCAATGGCGATAAGCTTGCAGGGAGCATACCTCCATTAAAACTAGCAGTAGCCAGGTAGGACGGTCGATCCGAGCATCACACAACATTCGGTGTCACCTCTTGCTATGAACCACGGCATAATAATACCGTGGTCAGTAGCACCTCTCTCTCCGCTCGGTGCACGTCCCCCCCTGCTGCGCCTTCATCTCCTCGTCATCACCAGTCACCAGATCATTTCTTATCAGTTAATATAGAGCTTTAATAATCTTCATGTCCCAGGATATATGAACTGTCACCTCCTCCTCAGTGTGGTATTGGATAACGACAACTGTAATTTCCTCAATTCTCCGGGCGGTTCATCTCGACCCTCAAATCACCGGAGCTGTTCAGCCTTATCACTCAGATACCCCGCTAATGCCAGCTACATCTTCGGTTGGGACAAGCTTCGCCTAGCCTCTTGGCCGTTCCTGTCCTTCGTGTCTATAACGACGATCGGTTTTATACTCGTCCCGACTATGGTCGGAGCTGCGGTTACGCATGCCTCCTAGATGATACTCGCTGCGTGTCGGAGATAAGCATGCTCATATATTTGCCACCTCATACCTTGTACATGCTCAAGACCTGTGGGCTCTTCAGGTCAGGGATGAAGGCACGGGTTTCATCACGTTTCCACTAAGGGAAAGTGGTAGTCATACAGGGCAGCTTCAATATTAAGACATTACTTCAGACTACTTACGCATTGCAAATTCACAGATCAGCATACAGGAGGTTGCTATGAGAAGATCTTTTGCTCTTGTTCTGGTGTCTAATGAAGGCTGTCAAACCTACTTCCCGAATGCTATCGATCTGTCTAGTCTAGTCCCCACCCCTGAAGCCAAATTAGGGCCTGCATCTGTGTCCCCACACAAGTAAACAACAGAATGGGTGCGTGCGCTATCAACACAATTAGCTACTGTAGTCTTGTCGCCAAATTTTTCAGTCAGCGCACGTGAAGGTGCTCCTCGAATGAAGACACAGAAGTTTATCTTTTCTGCTTAGTATATATTGTGCGATCATGATGTCTGGGTCACCGAGGTGAGTTGAGACTGCTAATCCCAAGAGGGAATTGCACTTCCAAATCACATTTCTATCTCGCGTTACTTGTTGGAATTGGTATACAACTGTTCTGCCAATTGGCCAACTGGCGACCGTAGCTGCCATAAGCTGAGCCCACCTGAATATTGTCATGATGAACTACGTGAATTTGCATTTACACTAACCACAACATCTCTTAACTAGCAGCAAGACATCCTTATTAAGCCTTACCATTTCTTACAAATCTCCCTCCATCATCATGCAATCAGAACCAGAAATTGCTGTTCTCTATGAATAATACGCTCAACTCCCACAGGGTTCAGCAAATGGGATCCACCGCCCCGGTCCCACCCGAAACTCAAATGTCGCATCGACCTGCCGTTCCGCAAGCCTTTAGCTCTTGCGCTCGACTGGGCTTACTTTAAAAGATGAAAGTCGTGCAATTAAACTATGATCTCCAAAGGATCTTCGTTGAATACGCGTGAACGGCCGTCATGAATGAGCAGATAAATAAAAACAAGAATAAAGCATCTTTCAGGTCTCAGTTCGGATGTACGAACTGCCGACAAAACAAAGTCAAGTGCGACGAGAAAAAGCCGATCTGCACCCGATGCTGGGAAAAGGACCTACCATGCCGGACACTATTCCGGTTGAAATGGGAATCAACTTATCGAGAACAGGGTATCGCCTTTGGCAGGTCTAAGCTGAATCGGAGGCCGATTGATCAGCGGAAGGGCCCAACCGGTACTCCAGGACTGGGTTCAACTTTTCCAGAAGACACTACATGGCTTGCGACTCCGACTGTTCAGTCTTGGACTTTTGTAAATACCGATTTTTCCTCGATCCGACGACTTTATGCTGATGAGCAAGGATGCGCCGAGCCACATCTTCTCCCGGCAGTCGATGCCAGAACAGTCCTTGGAGAGTTGGGGCCTCGTGAGCCAGTAATGTCATCAGCACAATCGCCACCCCTTTTTGACCTGTCAACGAACATACGAGAAGCGATGTTACAGAATTTACAATCGCCTCTCTCACTATTTCCGTCTCTAGATGACCTGGGAAATCAAGTACTGTTCGACTATTATGTGAACCAAATATGCCCCCGAACAGTACAGAGCCCTCTGTCCATGTCACCCTTTGCATCTGTCATTCTTCCTTACTGTGTATCCGCTCCGCCCGCAGTCCTGCAGGCCATACAGGCGCTGGCCGCCTGTCACTGGTCCCAAAGCGATCCAAGGTATAGCGAACTTTCTCTGCGACTGAAGGCTCGGGTCTTGAACCATCTTCGACATCGCCTCAATACGCATCCCAAGGATATAGTCACAGAAGACCCCGAAATCCTGGTTATCATGATGTTCTTGTGCTTATATGATATTGTTGATGACTGCAACCAGCAGTGGATCATACATCTCCAAGGAGCAAAAGATATCATTCGACTACGCCGGCGACAGCAAATCGCGTTGAAAGGGGCCAATCAAGATGTACAGCAAGACGCAGTATCATCTTTCACTGAGCTTTTCTTTGCTTTTCAGGATGTTATGGGGCGAACTGCCTGTGGAAAGGCGGAGCTTTTCGGGTCAACCTATTGGCGGGACGAAGACATAACCATAAATACCTGGATGGGCTGCAGTCCTGCTCTTGTATCTATTCTTTTCTCGATCATGGATCTGAGTCGGTCTAGACGGCAAGTCATCTCCGAAGAAGGTCACGAAACGTTCAACGCCAGAGCCGCCAGTCTGATCAACAGACTGAAAGGTATCAAGCAGGAGTCGCAAATCGATGGCGACAACCAAGTAATCCAGAGAATTGCCGAGCTGAAAAGAGTGACTTCTATTGTCTATCTGAACTGCGCATTGTATGGTTTGACACCATCCGACTCCATCACCAAGACCTACATCCGCAGGATATTGAAAGATATTGTCGAGTTACTTGCAATGGAACCATCCTGTCAGGTCGTCTGGCCTCTTTTCGTCGCTGCTGTGGAACTTGATCCTCTCGACTTTGCAATCATGCTAGATCCGGATACCGGGAAGATGACGGACGGACGAAGACTTGTCTTGGAATTACTCATGAAGATGAGCAAAAGCAGTGTTTCTAGTGTAACTCGAGCGCGTGTGGTTATCGAGCAGGTGTGGAAATCTCGCGACTTTTGTTTGTCGAAGTCTTCCCGGGAAAGGTCACCAGCGTCTATCACGGATCTGAATGACTGGGAAGAATATGTTATGCCTGTTAGTGATGCTTTGAGTTTAGCGTAAGCGGAAATGCTGGGAAAAGTCTTACTTATTCACATGATTATATCTTGTGATCTGTTCTTCTTGTACTCTGGTCCGAAAGACATATAGCACAGTACAGGCGTATCAGGGCGAGCCCCAGAATAGCGACCTTGTTTCTCGACAGTCTCTTCCATCCGGGTCAGAAGGATTAAAGAATCGCAAAATCCCCCGCCAATAAGTTCTACAATCTATGCCATATAGCACACTGGCTAGTGCCATCCACCTCGGATCCCTGCATGCGGGGTATTCTCACGGCTCGGGAATGGCATGGAACAATCGGAAAGACACTCCGCATGTCGGAATGTATTACCGATAACCATTCCACTAGCAGGTTCTGTATACTGGAGTTAGTTCACCCGCCGACCCTATAAAGCAACATCCGTTACTGGAGAAAGATTGGATCATACCCAACTTTGAGCTCCCCTTTTCCAGGACCCTTCAATCATCTACTTATAAATAGACAAACTACTTCTCTAAAGCTCTCATCACCCTTAAATTGCAAATCAACGTCACATACCCGTCTAATAGAAAAGAGAATGCTCGTCAACAAAGTTATCCCCGGAACCCTCACCGTCCCTCCAACAATCCACTCCCCTAACTCAACCCGTCCAGTCCTCGTCTACAGGGATGCCTTAGTCGACAAGACGCCCCAAGGAGCCTCAAGTTCCATATACCAGTCTGAATGGGTGTATGGAGGCCACTGGAAAATAGCAGAAAATACGCTCGCAGCCGTCCCTCACTACCACTCCATCACCCACGAGGCGTATACAGTTCTACACGGAACAGGAACATACCGGCTTGGAAAATCTCCCCTTGACCCCGAAGTCGATGCAAATGGTGAGGAGGTTGGTGTCGTGTTCACTGCTCGCGCGGGAGATGTTTTTGTGTTCCCTGTATGTTTCACCCCTAGTCTGCCCCTCTCTAAATATGAGTGGAGAAATATAAATCAAAAGACTTGCGTTACTGATAGAGCTATGTCTGTGTAGGCCGGTGTCACCCATTGCGTTACAAATACTTCCGACAATTATGAAGTTATTGGATGGTATTCGCTGGTAAGCTGCTACTGCTGCTGCTAGTTGAGGCAACATGTTGTTTTGTTTCGAGTTGACTTACCAATGGCAGAATGACAAGAATTCCCGAGAGCAGCCATGGGACTACGAGGAGGCGCTTGACTCCCCGGAGGAAACGAACAGAAAACGTACGATCTGCGATTCAGTGCCTACGCCGGCTCTTGATCCCATTTATGGAAATGAGGGACATTTATCAATTGTCTGGAAGCGGGACTGAGTGTTTAATTGTCGAGCCTGAATGATAGCTTGGGAAATTGATCAATATCATCTGTCTTCCTCGGAATTGCTATCCGTACATTGGATACTATCTTCACAAAGTCGAAGTAAAGTTGACATCTCCATATCAAATACATTTAGTCGTCGATTACATCCGAGTCGGCGCAGCTCTTCTTGCCTTGACAAGCGAGCATTGACATTTAATTTGAGCTCTGCTATTTTCCATGAACCTAAGCGTGGTGACGTAAAATCATGTGAGTATCGCGCCACAAAAAAGGTCAGTTGTGTTACATGAAATCCTGTACACTTTGTCAGTCGGACTAGGTTCTCGTGTCAGCATTTTCCCGATCTAGTATTCTCAAATTTCTCGATGATACCCACTTCAAGAAGAACTCAACATACCAGAAGCAAAACATAGGCTGGTTTATATGGGAGGTTATTGAAGCTGGAGACATGATTGCTAATCATAGGGAACCCTGCATTGCTGCAGATAATTGACATAAAAAGAGACTAATGAAGTAGAATGTACTGCTTACTATAAGGCTCGAGCTCCGGCGCAACGATCGTATTACCTCAAACTGTGTCCATCCATGGATGAAGGGCGGGGTTAAAAGAGACTCCTAGCAGGACCGCATGTGTTCCACATGACAGAAGATTTGGCATAAAACCCCATCAGCACTCTAATTTAATTTATCAACTCTTCGTTGACAATTTAGTATCCTAATCCATCCCTTAAACCATCACACGGTACCCCAAGCTCCACTTGCTTCATCATGGACTTCACCAAGAATGTTATATCGCAGACTACATCCACCAACCTCAACACAAGCATCAAGGCCTTCAAGTCCTTGATCGAGAGCGACCCCAAGCTCTACAAGCTCACCACAGAAATGTTTACGCAAACCCGCCCTGGAGATCCAACAATCCCTAGCAACCTCGCTACTTTCATCATCCAGTTGAACAGTCTTGTTCGAAGTGCGCCCGTATTTTCTACCCAACGCTGGGCCAGCAGCCCCTTGACCATGTTCATCGAGCCATACATTCGCACGCCATCCGGATACGAATTCTTCCTCAACGCAAAGGTCAACAATGCCTTCCATGACATCCTCAAGGACTGGGGCAAATTTCTCCGCAGCCCAGAATCAGCAGCCGTCCTAACCAGCGAGCCTAATGGCTGGTTCAGCCCCGATGCCCTCGCCAATATGCGCGATTTCGAGAAAACATTCGTATGCGACCCAAGAAAGCCCCACTGGGGGTTCACTTCCTGGGAGGAATTCTTCAACAGAGAGCTCCGTAAGGGTGCCCGACCAATTGCGGAGCCAGACAACCCCGGTGTCGTTTCTGCTGCTGTCGATGGAGTCACCTATAAATTCGCGACCAATATAAAAGCTAAAGATGAATACTGGCTCAAGAATCAGCCCTACTCACTCGAAGACATGCTCGATGGAGATCCGATCGCGGGGCAATTCGTCGGCGGTACGGTTCTCCAGGTATACCTTGAGCCTACCGGCTACCATCGGTGGCATGCGCCCGTCTCGGGAGTTGTCGTCAGAACTCTGGAGATACCTGGGATATTCTGCCCTGCTCAACGGGATAATACGAGCCTGGATGACTGGGTTTCCGAGTCCCAGGGCTATGCCGTGCATACGGCTACTAGACACCTGATATTCATCGAAACTGAAGATAAAGTGCTCGTGTGCTGCTTATTTGCGGGTATACTGGAACGTGGCTCGTGCGAGACGACGATGCTACCTGGGGATAATGTAAAGAAGGGCCAGGAGCTTGGAATGTTCCATTTTGGGGGAAGTACGCATTGTCTCATTTTTGGGCCTCAGGTCAGGGTTAATTGGAACCATATGGAGGATATGAAGGTTGGACAGGAGATAAGCCGGATATCTCTGGGCAAGTCTGGTGGGGTATCTGAGTGAGGTTGCAATGTACCCCAAAGCTTTCTTTGTACCAATCTGAGCGTCTAGTCTGGTTCTGGAAGGTTTGGTCAACTTAAGTGATTACTGAATGCTACGAGGGTACTATGCCTTTCCTTCTAGCCATCACAGGTTCAGAGAGCCATGGGTACTGCTACTTTTTCATGCCAAACTAGGTGTTAATGTGAAAACTGGCAGGTTATATAATACTACCGATGCTTACTTGTATCTTGGTGGACGATGGCCTTGCTTTGAATGAAATCATAAAGAGATTAAATGGAGTGGTTCTCCTAATAAACGCCTATCTCGCTATCTATTCATTCCAAGACATCGTTTTCGTATTTGTGGGGTACTACAATGGTTAGTGGAACCTTATGAATTTACAGGTACTTAACGGCTGCTTCGAACATATCTGTAGAGACCGATCAGAACGCTCTCTCAATATGAACAAGAAGAACTTATTACGGCGATAATGCGATCTGCCTCCAAGAGCGGATGTTTCACCTACTCGACGTTCCAGAAGGGCCAAGCCTTCTGGCACATGCTTGTGCAAGAACTGTAGGCTGACAGCGCTCCAATTTGAGAGACAAGCCTTTGGATCAGGCTCCCAAATTTCCAAGCAGCCCCTGGATAGCCAACAATTGCAATCAACCAAATTAGATCCGACCCTATCAAAGCAGCTTCCCGGAAAGTGGCAGATCGACTAACCCTATCCCGGTCAAGCTTTGCGCACTAGCCCGCCAAGCTCTGACTAATCGGGAAATTCAGCTTCCTGTCTGGGAATGGCACCGGAAAATGTTTTGCTTGCTAGTCCGGATAGGGGCTGGTGGTGTGGATCCTGATAACTCGAACCGGCAACCATCCCCGGGGAAGAAGTTGCTGGCCCGAATAACCCTCAACAGCCAGTTGTCATTAGTGCTCTCTCCGAGTCAACTCGCCCCCAGGGACCCCCAAGTTTAATTGCGAACTCCTGTAATCTTGCTGCGATGGAGTTGTGTTGCTTTAATTGGATCGTTCGACTGCATATCAGCAGATCCCCAACTCGCTTGCAACAGCATTACTGTCGGATGGCTCGGACCAACCGCTCAGCTGTCTCCTGAGCAGAGGCGAGAGGAAAAATCTTCCTCCTCCACGACACGAGCAAAACCAGTTTTCATGGGTGAAAAAAAAAGACCCAGGTGGAGTCTATCGTGGCTACCAATAACCAGGCTCGACGAGAGACACCGTCTGGTGTCCCTTTTTCAGGGACAAATGGCAGATTGCCCCTATTTTTAAAAGTTGGGTTTGGGCCCTTGCCCCTGAAAGCTGCCTATAGTGGGATTAGCCCCCGCCGATGCCTCGGAGACTAAGTGCCGACTCGCTCCTTGATTGGCTGCCACCATCTTTGCTTCTGTGCTATCGATAGCTTGCTCGCTAGAAGCCAAAGAGGCACTTTTTTTTTATCTCCAGCGCTATAACTCCGTCAATGGGCTCCTTCTCCTTCCTGCCGGCCACGAGCCATGAACCTGAAACCATTCCTGTCATCTCTCCCCCAGGACAGCCACGAACCCGCCCATACCCATCCCGCACCCAAACCCACCACCACCTGAGTCGGGTCACCCCAGACTCTGACCACCAATTCGATTACCACGCCCTCACAAACCCGCCGTCATGTTCTATCTTCGCCATGCCTGGCTCCTAGGGGCGCTAGCCGGCCTGGTGGCCGCCGATGAAACCGATTGCAACCCCATCAACAGCACATGCCCCGCCGACGCGGCGCTGTCCACAGAGCACACATGGTGGTTCAACCAGACACTAGATGACAAGCTTTGGGATATGCAGACGGGGGAGATAGAGTACACGTCGGAAGGAGCAGAATTCAGCATCAAGACGGAAAATGCCTCCACCTTGTTGGTGTCGAACTTTTACATCTTTTTCGGTGTAATGGAGGCACATGTCAAGATGGCCAAGGGTGCAGGTATCATCAGCAGCGTGATCCTGCAGTCCGATGACTTGGACGAGATCGATTGGGAGTGGGTGGGATACAACACCAGCGAGGTGCAATCAGACTTCTTCGGAAAGGGAAACACAACGACAAGCGATCGCGGTGGCTACCACGCTGTATCGAACGCAGATACCGAGTTCCACAACTACACTACTTACTGGGACAAGGATCGTCTGGAGTGGTGGATTGATGGCGAACTGAGGCGCACGGTCAACTACTCTGAACCCCTCACCGTCTATGGCAAGAACTACCCCCAAACGCCGTGCAGAGTCAAGGTCAGCAACTGGCCTGTGGGTATTGCGTCGCAATCGATAGGAAACATCGAATGGGGTGGTGGTTTGGTCAACTGGACCGACGTCCCCTTTACTATGACGGTGCAGAAGATCCGTGTCCAGGATTTCTCCTCGGGCAAGGAGTACAAATACATCGGTCACAATGGCTCTTATGAGAGTATTGAGATTGTTAGGTAAGTTCTTTTTCGCTGATGTCTGTCAGATAGGTCAAGGACATTAATCTAACTGCTCTTGTCTATAGTGGAAACTCCACTGCCGCCAAAGAAATCTCGAAGAAACCCGCCGAGACGCTTTCCCAGAAATGGGACAAACTGGGCACAGCAGCCCACATTGGCGTCTACTGCGGTGCTGCTGCCTTCGCTGCTCTCTGTATCGCCGGCTTTGTCCTTTACTTCCTGCGCCAGCGTCGCCAAGGTCGTCTCGAGCGCGCTCTTGGTGAAGGTCAGGGTACTGCCGCGGACCCGACCGAGATGGAAACGTACAAAAAGCAGTGGAGACAAAGCGACTGGACGGCTCGTCGTGGGTACCAAGCAGTAGGACAATAGCCTAAACTGTGTTATTCGCCGGTGGTGTGCGGAATGTTTTACGATGGGTGAAGCACGTCGATTTGTTCTCCTTTTTGTTACCTTTTCTCCTTTTTTACCCATACTTGGATACCGACTGTCTATTGCGAAACACTTAGATTTGTTACGTTATTATTTTTGAGATACATATTGAGCGATTTAATGCGTGGTCTATTTATTAAGACTTATTATTCATATTCGTGTATATAGACGGAGCGGATTATCGATCATAGAGCAATTAATGTACATTATTGGGAATATACTACCATCAAATTTTTCCTAGTACGCAATCCAGCTGGATGCACAGACAGCCAGATCTCGCCCTGAGGACAATTTGCTAGGTGGCGGCACTCTGCAGACATAGCCACACGATACATCCAATGATCTACGCTCCACTCTCATGCAAGGAGGTTAGGTTTGGTTTGCTTGCCACGCAAGAAACTATACCCGGTTTTGCGCGTCCGACTGTCCAGACTACTGTACCTGGTAGGTAAGTCGAGCAGGCTTGTCAGTCCCCCTCGCTTAGCAGGCACATTGTCATATGATAATAGAATTCCATGCTTTATCCCCATTTACATGGACGTCCAATGCGAAACCACTGGACTGGCTGGACTGTAAATGAGACAATCCAACAATCTAGAAGTATGCACCAAGCAGGAGCGGTGAATAGTCCAGGCTCAATGGCCATCTGCAACGTCACCACCCATCTGCTGTATCGCTAAGACAGATATATACACCTCATATAGTAGTAACTATCCCCAATTCCCACATATTCTCCCATCGTAGAACCCAACAACTCAACCCACTCAACCATGACAATCGAGACCAAAACCATCACCGTCTTCGGTGCAACCGGTACTTAACCCCCCTTACCCTCCTCTCCTCCATACCCAAAACTAACTATATACCCACCCAGGCCGCCAAGGCAGCTCCGTTGTGCGCTCGCTCGTACAAAACCCTACCTTCCACGTCCGCGCCATAACCAGGAACCCATCGTCGAGCAAAGCCAAAGAGCTGGCTTCTCTGGGCGCAGAGCTAGTCAAAGCCGATGGATTCAACCGACAGGAACTTCAGCAGGCGTTTTCTGGTAGTTGGGGGGCGTTTGTGAATACGAATTCGGAGGATCCGGTTTGCCCTACTTCTGTTTGCATCTGGCTAGAGTAATGATACTAACATGAAAGAATTTAGGAGCTAGAAGCCAAAGGCCTCAACGACGCCGACCTAGGCAGCAACATCATCGAATGCGCCGCCTCATCTGGCGTGCAGCATCTAGTGTATAGCTCCGGTCTTGCGATATCAGAAATGACCAATGGGGCTGTGAAATGTCCTGGTCTTGATTGTGAGTATTACATACATCCCTCACTAAGTTCATAAAACATTTAAATCAAGTTTCCATTGACTAATAAATGAGAACACAGTAAAAATCCAAGTCGAGCGACAAGCCTACACCACGAAGGGCTTCAAAACCGTAACTCCCATCGTAGCCGCCTGGTTCATGGAGAACTGGCTCGAGCCAGACTACGCCGACTTATTCGGCGGATGGCCCACATTTCCCGATTCTGAGGGTTATCTAACATACAAGACGCCCTTCTGGGGCGGGAAGGAAGATTTCCCCTGGATCAGTATGAAAGATGACTTTGGGGATCTGGTTCATGGGGTTTTTGTTAATCCGTTGCGGTGGAATAGACGGCTGATTCAGGGGTCGAGTGATATTGTTTCGTCGGCGGAGGTGGTGAATACGTTTGTTTCTGGTAAGGTTTTACTTATCATTATCTTTTACGTGATGAGTGATGAGTAGATGCTGACGGTGATGGGTATAGTGACTGGCAAGAAAGCCCGGTATGAGGTTCTAGCGGACCCGAACGACATGAATACGAAAGGGGAGTACTGGCGTGAGCAGGAGCGTGATGTTTTTATCTATTCTCAGTTCAGGGATGGGGAGTACTTTGGTAATGGACCTACGGAAATTCAGACTGCTGCGGTGTTGAAGAAGGCGGCGTTTAAGGCCAAGGGAGGGAAGGGGAGGGAGACGCTTATTACTGTGAGGGAGTTTATGGAGAGGGAGTTTGCCAAGGTGTAGAAGAGATGACTATACTATGTCAGAAACTGGATTATGCAGAGTTACTTGCGCAAAGACACAGCTGGCTGTCTTTATCCCTTGCACTTCTGGCGTATGCTTTATGCGCGGGTTGGAGTAGCGGTGAATTTGCTTGCATCGTAATTCAGCATACCATCCTGATTTACCAAGAGAACTACCTGCAACGGAGGAAGGCTAGGTAGGGGTTCCTGGAGTCTAGTATCTGCCGAGGAACTTGGTTATATGTGGCTGAAGGCAGGTTCTCTTAATCGAGTATTTGATCTATAAAGTTATGCGATAAATAACATTGTATAGAGCTATACACGCAGCCACCACTGAATCCTACTAGACATTGTCTCTTCTCCTCAACACTAATTCCAAAACCTATTTGACCCCTCAAAGCAAATGAATGTTAGCAAGTGCTACAACCAACCAATCCACCGACCTAGCAAGAAGCCACCGAAGGGTAGTTTTTGCAAGCAGTAGATTTCTTTCCCCCAGTAACCTTCACATCGTCCCAAGTCCAGTCCGAGCAGCTACCAGATCCGCAAAGAAGATAGATATCAGTAGCCTTACTATCCACAGTACCAGTCACGCTCTCCAGCTTGACATCCGTAATAGTGACACCGTTCGTGGGCTTACCCGTAGGCTTGCCATCCTCGTAATCCTGCTGGATAACGACGCCGTAATCGGAGATACCGGACATAACAATGTTGGAGTACGTGATCTCAGACACGGAACCAGTGGCACCAGAGACGGTCTTAATTCGGACGGCGTTCTCGGAATTGCTCACGGTGGAGTGCTCGATAGTGACGTTCTTGACAACGTTGTTGGAGCGGCCGCCGACAGAACCGATGGAGAGACCGTGGCCGCCAATGCAGGTGCCGCCGGTGAACCAGATGTTCTATAGAATATTAACATACATGCAAATCAAATATATGTGCAAAGCTGCTTACCTCGCCAGAGTTGACCGCAAGACAGTCATCCTGGTTATGGACCCACGGTTTGATGATATTCACACCGACGGAGTTACCAACATCAAACGCATCAGTGTTGTGTCCACCCTGGGTATCACCGTCCGCGTTGTTGATGGTAATGTCAGTCAGAGTGATGTCATCTGCCTGAACACTGAACGCCATAAGGGGGGTGTTCTTGATATTCAATCCAGTAATGGACGAGGAGTCAAGGCCATGAGCGTAGAAGAACTTGGGCTTCTTCTTTCCGCTAGTCCCTTTGCCGTCCCACCACCGCGCACCGTCGCAGTTGATGAGATGGCCTGAGGCACCAGTGACGGTGATATCTTTGCCACTCATGGAGATCAAGGGGCCTGCCCATTCTTCATAATCGAAGGTCGTGGTGCCCTCGAAGATGACCTTCGTACCGCTGGTGAGACCGGTCAGGTCGAGGGTGGTTCCAGCGGGGACTTCGATGTTGTCAAGGGTGATGGTAGAGCACCCTGCCTTGCCCGCTTTGGCAGCAGCAGCCGTTTTGAAGGTGCAGCTTCCCCGGGCTTCGATGGGGGAGGCAGAAGCGAGGGTGGCGCTGGCGGCTAGGCCGTAGGCCAGAAGAGAAGCAAAGGAGTGCATGGTCAATGATAGCGATAGAAAAAAAGGACAAAAAGAGTGTAATCGGTCTGATGCCAAATGAGTGTAGGATGATGAGCAAACTCACCTCAGCATCGGCAGGCTTGAGGTTCTTATAGTCACAATTTCAGCGCATCTCTTCTGATCGGAAAGTCATAACTGCCGACAGCCTCTGGAGAGATGCTGGTCCAGGGTTCACGTTTCACATTAAGATGTTGTCTCAAATGTTACCTTTTTTTTAATGAACTTAAGTTCGACATGGTGGGCAACTAATATATATGAGCCGTGGTGGCTGATCAGCCGACGGGGTCCGCGGGTGACCGAACAGGTTCGCATGTCGATGAAAAGAACGCAAAATGCCCTCTTGAGCGTAACATTATTGTCAAGGTGGAAAGACAAAGACAGATTCATATATACCGCTGACTCAAGACATTGACAAGCAGTACTATAATTCGCCTTCACAAACAGCCATCAGTCCTGGAGGAAACGGGTGTCATCGTAGGCCTTGGGATCCAAGCCGGTTCTGCAGTGTACGAGTACGAGATGGCAGCTATACTAATCCCAGTAAGGCTGTAGCTCGATATGCAGGGTCTGCGGCATTTATGGTGCCTTGCAAATTCCACCAATGAATGATTCAAAAAATCACTCTGTGCCAGATCCGGAGCGTGATCGGCTAGTCACTCTGTAGTTAGTATTAATATCAGAGATTCGAAATGAAACTAGTGCAGCGTCCATCCGTTCCTTCGACAGCTACATCGGGAATAGTGTGCAAAGCTCGCTAATCAGGGTTGAAAGCTTGCCGGCAATAAGCAACCTGGAGTGGGGCCAGTCAAGGAGAGGAAGGAGAAGACAGGAAAGGAGGAAGCCATTGGCCAACGGTGAGCAAATCCGGCAGACTACACTGGTCACGCAGTGAATAGGGGGCGGTTCGTTGTAGGAAGTGCACAATCTCAAGTTTTGTCTTTCGATACAGCTTGAGCAGGATTTTCCACCTGCAGCAACATTAACATGGTATTCTCAATCTCTGAGTGATGCTATCAAGCGCAAATACTGACCTACCTTTGATTATATCCAATCCTCAGCCAGAATACACAGTAATCCTGGCGCAAAAAGGTCATGTCTAAAACTGGTATATTGAAGGCAAACGGCGCCCCTTAATTCCCCTGCTGTTGCAGGCGATCTATATTGACCCGTTTATTACTCTTCACAAATTGCACACCGGATAACGGCTTCGCTCTAACGCTCCTCCCGTCAGGTTGTAGAAGCAATCTATGTCGAGCATTCTTAGCAGGTAATCCTCGCGGCATCGAAATTACGCAGCCGTCCGTCAGGCAGGTCAACTTGGGTGTTATTCCCTCCGCACTGAATGTCCTCCTAGGAACGAAACGAGTAAGGTCCTATTTAGGTTGGCTTTAATAAGCGGTTATCCGGGCATTATGAAGAGTTAGGAATCATACCACCATACAAACGCCAAACCAACCACTCATGCGGACTTACAACCCTGTAAATTGCAGTAATCAGTTGCTGACCGCGCAGAACGCGAGCACCGCGTCTTCCATCAACTCATTGTATGTTTCTGGATGTTGAAATAGTCACCAATTACAGATTCAACGACACTGTTGAGAGCAAAAAGCGCGTTGTGTGAGATGTAAATCTCGAAGGGGTAGAGGAGAGAAAGCGGGAGAAGTGAGGATTGAGAGCCAAAGTCACGTTGTCTTCCAACTAAGGCATACATTGCTTACAGATTATCGCTTGCGTGAGGCTTCCTATTACCGGCTCTTCAACAGAGTCAGCCAGCATTCAAGTCTTGGGGGTAGCTACGAGTATACTTGGACTCGACTAATCTGGTTCCCAAACAACTTTGGATGATAATGCTGCGACTGGTTTCATACAGTGTTTGACTCACTGTAACTACTGTAATCGAATGTAAATACACCATGATGCCTATGCACATGCTCGATAATATGACACGATACAGCTCAAACACCCTTGTGGATAGTCCTCCAAGCAAATTCCATAATGACAGCCAGTCCTTGGTAAAGTTCAAGCGAAGAACACCCGCCAGCAAACGGGACACGCATTGTGATACTCAAGAAACCAGGTCTCAAGGCACTGTCGATGAAAGACATGCTTACAGGGCAATGCATGTATCACATCTGCTTTGTTCACGGTTTCGAGGCATATTGCACTATATTTGCCGACACAATATCTGTTAGTGTCTGCTTGGATAGGGTCACGTTCAATCATAGCAATCGTCAGAAATTGAATATGAAGAATGGACCAACCAGATGCTACTTTCCCAATCCCTACTTAATAACGGACTCCGTTCATGACAGACAGTTGAGGTATACCACGAATCATAGCGCTTGAGGGGCGCGACGCGGTTAAGGGATTTCAGGCGCTGGAGTGAGTTCCAAGCGGCTGTATGGTCCGGGGTTGTGGCAGGCGTAGAGGTGAAGTCGAGAGTGCCATAGGCAATACAGTAGGATTTCAGAAGAAGACTATAGCACCATGTTATCCAATTTTAGTACAGCTTCTATCAGATAGGAGGAGCGAGGTAGAAGCTGGAATTATACCAGATCGCAGTGATTATGTACACGCTCAGACACAGGATAAGAAGGATTTGGAGTTGAAGCGCTTTGTCGGGAACTGGTGGTTCTCCGGGTTCTGGGTATGGAGTTTGTTCCGCGCCTGGCTCTGCCATTGTTTTTGATTGCTCCCCTTCTGGGATTTCTACCCTGTATAGTACGAATTGCTTAGGGTGTCTTCAAGGGGATGAGAGCGAGGAATATATCGTTCCATAGGGAGGTCCATCAATATAACAGGCCCGGGGGACATGGTCTTGCGGCCGAAAGAATGCCGAAATCAGAGAAATCTCACGAGGATGTTGAAAGAAAGAGGAAGGAGGAAATGCGGGGGGAGAGGGTTTTCTGGGGGGGTGGAGCATGGGCCGACCATGAAATAAAGCCAGCCGGGTACCTTCTGCCTTGTGCTTCCAGGGGAGCATCACAAATAAACTTTTGGTGTCTGATCCCACTAATCATGGCAGTAAGCCAGGGTGGTCATAGTGACGCGCTCATTTCCAGCTGTCAATGCAGTAGGAGCCTGTTGTTGGGCATTTACAGTATGCAGAACAGTCAGGCCACATGGTAAGATCCTCGTCTCAGGCAGATGGAGGAAGATCTCCGATATCAGCAGCTATACGCACCACGCTAATTAGACTTTCTATAGCCACGTCTAGGCCTCTCCAAATAATCTAAAAGCATGACAGGCCCATGAAAGATCTTCGACCATAACTACTTGATTCCTTTTTCGATACTACACCTTCACCTCAACAGCCAAAGATCCCATAATGCCTCCCAAAATTCCCGAACACCTCTATCACGTCCTCTTAACCATCACTCGCCTCAACAAGAACCCCAATAATCTCGTCGAAATCCTCCGTATTCCTGGAACTTACACCAGTCTACTCGCCGCCAAAGCCGCGGCGCACAGCTGTCTCTACGACGCCGGCTACGAGCGTGACTTCTTTCCAACCTATGAAACCAGCGCCCACATTTTCGAACAAGAGAACCTGCCCGATCGCACCGGACTTGCCATTTACGCCGTTGCGCCAGACGGCACCACCTTCCGCGTCCGCATCGATACCACACAGAACAAGCTCCAGCTGACCACCGATCTCGACGATGGCCGTATCTCTATCCCGCTATTTTACGTCGTGCAGGCGAATGTAGAATATGATGCCATCGAGGGGGAAAGTACAGTGCGGGAGGTGATAGTGCAGGGCACATTTACGGATTACATGCAAGCAAGGGAGTACGCGAAGGGAGTCTTGTTGTCGGAGAAAGATGGCATTCTGAAGGGCAGTTATGCGGCGTATGTGGAGGCCGGAGAGGGGGAACGGGATTGTGGATTTGGCGAGAATGTGGTAGTGCATGCGGCGTCAGATTATGGGGTGAACTATTTGGTCAGTGTAATCCGAAATCAGGAATTGGGCAGTGTGAGTTTGGCGGAGGCGGCGATGAGGATTGGTTGATTTGACGTTGTGTTCGGCGCTGTACCTCCATCTTTCCTAAGTAATATCCACTCCACGTACGTCCTATGGCTCTTAGAAATATCCACTTGTTCACTGTCTCGCACCAGAATCTTCTGGATACGACAGTCACAAGCCTACTACCATCATGCCACCCGGCATACATTTCCAGGCGTGGAACCTCATCCATGGAACCGCACCCCCCAAGACCACCTTGACTGCCAACCCCACGCATCCCCGGATTTCCACTTAGTTTGGGACCCATATTCAAGACCCATCTCTTGATGCATGTCAGAAAGCAAAGGAAGGCGCATGCTCTCTCTAGGAGTTTCTATCCGAAAAGACCCCGCGCGAGCCACCCGCGTACAAATGACAGCATCTCCCCCGACCACGCCATTCCAGTTTGCACGTTCCACCGCATACAATAATGTACAAATAAGACAGACCATCGCCAAGCAGCAATAACCATCACGGCAAACATACCAACAATGCTCAAACAAACCACCCACCTCCTCAGAACAACCCCAACCATCACCAGATACCCAATCCACCATCTACGAAATCTACAAACAACAACACCAAGAGCAATGTCCCTCCTGCCACACCACCCCCGTCCCGTCCCCTCCCTCCTGCGCGCCTTCACAGACCTAGACAACTACCTCACTACATCCACCGCTACAGATTCCCTATTTGCAAATTCTCCGCGCTTTGACCTCCGCGAAACCAAAGATGCATATATCCTAGATGGCGACCTCCCCGGCGTCAAGAAAGAAGACGTCACAATCGAGTTCACCGACCCCAGCACGATGAACGTCAGGGGTCGCACTGTACGCAGTTCCGAGGGTGAGGATGGGAACTGGTGGTTCTCCGAGCGCACGATGGGAGAGTTCCGTCGCTCATTCAGTTTCCCGGCCAAGGTGGATCGGGAGCATGTGGATGCGAAGTTGACGGATGGGGTATTGTCGATTCAGGTGCCGAAGGTTGGGGGGGAGGTGGAGGAGGAGAGGAAGGTGATTGATATTAAGTAAGGGCTACTACATTCTTGGGGGGGAGAGGGGTTGGTTGTGTGTGTATGATGGTGCTCATGTTAGTTGCGTGTGAAGGAAGGAAGATATTAGCGGTATTTGTTTTAGCTATTCATTGGAAGGCTGGCTGATATCCAACAGTGAGAATGGACATTATGCATGTTAGCGCTATATATATCATTTATAATCTTTCTTTTGATAACACTCGACGATTTATTGTAGGTGAAACAATTCGGATAATCTGTAGCGACCTACCATGGTATGAGGGGTTTGGAGTACAAAAACACAAAGCAATGACGTCATAAACAAAAAGTTGTTCTTGGCTTCTTGCAGCCAGTTACCCCACTCATGTGCCAAGCATGCCGGTGGAGAGACAAATAAATGTTGGGGGCACACACAGGAAGGAAAATTAAAAAGCAAAAAGATGGTCCCAGAGGGGCTCGAACCCTCGACTTTGACGTTATTAGCGTCACGCTCTAACCAACTGAGCTATGGGACCCAGTTGATGTATTTTGCATTGTACCTTTGCAATATATCTTAGCACAGCTTGGAAACTCAAAAACCTTCCCACACGAGAGTTGCTCACATGGCTTGAGTCTCGGCATTATACTACATACTACAACAGACCAGTCATCTATAGCAGCTGCATCGGTATTCTCCCTTCGCACCTTTGCAACCTACTAATTATGCATCATGCTCATACTAAGGATGGACTCATTGTTGAACTGAGTTGGCTGCTCCTAATAAGAACTTACTCCTATCAAGTGGCTAATTGAATATATATATCCGGCTTCCTTACCATTAGTACACACACCGTACTACTACAACTATGCTGAGCTCTCGAGCCACTGACAAGTGAGTCAGGATGGAAATGAATGTCTAAACAAGTTCCACGGAGATAAGATCAACCTCAAACCCAAGCCAGTGCCCAGGGATTCTTCTAAACCCGCAGGCCGCTAAGACTATAATAGGAATACCGCCGTCAATACATCACTGTCGGCAGATGACTACCATATCAGGGGGTGGTCACTGATATTGAGCCTCCTAGCACATGAACTGCTGCAAAGCAATGACCGCGACGCAATGCCATCGGTCGCGTGCAATCCCATGACCAACTACTATAAATGGGACTTACGCCATTTATATTTACCTCTACACTTTATCTTCCTTCCCCGTTTACCCCACTTCCTTTGGTCCAGGAACGCACTCTTGGCATCAAACCTGCCAGCACAACACACCTAAGCTGACGGCGACTCACCTTTGGTCACTTGACTCAAAGATTTGTAACCCCTCATGTGCTACATGAGATATTTCAACCAGACACATCAAGTTGTAACGAAACTATGACCAATCGCGTGGGATTGACTTTCTCCGCGATGTCTATCACACATGCCGTCCGTTGACGATCCCGTATCGCCCTTTGCACAGGACGGAGGATTCCTTATCCCGTTAGGCGGAATTGTTATCAGAGCACCAATAACAGCCCTGAGCTATATCTCCAAACTGATACGGAATGACCATATAAAGCTGGAGATAAAGACAGCCCCTGATATCTTATATTTTGAGGGACCCCCTTCCTGGCCTCCTATGTCAGACAGACATCTCAAAAGACCTGGCGATTGGCATGCACGCTAGTCGGAACCTGGCGATATTCTCAAAATAGCCGAGGTCGGGGAAAGAAGGTTCAGTCAGTCATCCGTACAGACGCTCAGTGGTCGAAAAGCAGCTAACTTGTTCGAACAGGGCATCGTATCCGTGCCGTTCGCAGATCTCAATGCAGATTGCGTTGGCCAAGCCAGACGTGGGCTGCAATTGCCTAAGCTTCGCTGTCACGGATTTGGGATGATTGACAAACATGCTGCACCGTTACTGATTGAGATATGAGTTGCGTTCTGCTTACATCGCCTAATTAGACACGATCGGGATGCTCCTAGCTGCTTCACCCCCAGCTCTCTCTTGCGATATCGGACAACAGCAACATCAAAAGCATTGTTATCTCAATTATGGGGCACCACCAGCGTCTCTTTATCTATTTATCTCCCACGCTGGCCATTACCAAATTCAATGAGGCTTCTGGGGGTGTCTTGGCGGCCCAGTGACTCCCGACTGGCTGTTGACCCGAGGTCCAACAACCCCATCGGCCGGATCCGATGGAAGGGCAGCCGGCAGGTGGAGAAAAGTCCAACGACGATCTCAAATTGTCCAGCGGGGAAGACACACGCCTGCCAGCTTGGCGATCGATGCCTGTTCTCTTGCGATCCTTTGACTCTGGTACTGCTTCGGTTACAGGAATCCTATTCTAGTCCGGAATGCCCAAGTCCACGCGACAGACGGGCGCCGCCGATGGCCGACCCATATGCAAATGCTTGGACGCCTTTTTATAAAATGTCCGCACCGGAGACCAGGGTTCAACGGCGTGAGCCAAGTCTAATTGATCATTACATGCGGGGACATCCTGGCTGATGTCGCGATCGTTGCATAGAATCTTCTACTGCATGTCTTAGCCATGCAACCATACTTCGGCCTACGCGGCGCTCTTTTGAATCGCGCCATCATCTGGCTGGTCGTCTGCCCGGCCTTTGTGTGCTATGGATACAACCAGGGAGTGACGGGTGGTCTCCTCACGCTGGAGTCGTTTGCGGAGACGTTTCCCCAGATGAACACTTTGACCACCACTGGGGCCCAGCAGCACTACAACTCCACCATTCAGGGTAGGCACTCTGCTCGCTGCTCCTAATGCCTCCCATTCTAACATTCCACAGGTACGGTGGTCGCTCTGTACACTGTCGGCGGCATATTCGGATCACTATCATGCATCTACCTCGGCGATCTCCTCGGCCGAAAAAAGGTGATCTTTATCACCTCAGCCGTATCGATAATCGGGGCCTTGCTGATGGCCACTTCTTTCGGACTGGCTCAATTCATCGTGGCACGTGTTGTGCTTGGACTGGGAACGGGGGGTTATGTTGCAACCGTGCCCGTGTGGCAGGCCGAGATCTCGCAGGCGGGCAAGCGTGGCGCCCATGTAGTGACAGACGGTATCTTCATTGGGGCGGGCATTACAATATCGCTGTGGATTGATTTCGGATTCTACTTCGTCACGGGTAACTCCGTGTCGTGGCGGTTCCCGCTCGCCTTCCAGATCGTCCTGTCGCTGATGGTGATGGCCTTCGTCATCTTCTTCCCAGAGTCACCCCGGTGGCTGATAAAGCGGAATCGGACCGAGGAGGCCCGTGAAATCCTTGCTGCGCTGGCAGATGTCGATCCCAATGACGAAAGCATCACCCTGGCTATGCGCGACATTGAACGGTCGCTGGCACTCTCGGGATCTGGATCGTGGAAGGACATGCTGAGCATGGGCGAACAGCGACTCTTCCATCGGACGGTGCTGGCTGCGGCAGGCCAGATGTTCCAGCAGATGTGCGGAATCAATCTCATCACATTTTACGCCACGACCATTTTCCAACAATATCTAGGCCTGGATGCCATACCATCACGCATTCTGGCTGCCGCCATGTGCCTCACTCAGCCACTGGGCGGATTTCTCGCTTTCTTCACAATTGATCGGCTCGGTCGGCGAGTTCTGATGTTGTGGAGTGCCGTGGGCATGTCCGCCTCGATGGCTATCTTAGCCGGAACAACGTCTCGATCTGATGATACCGCAGCGCTGGTCGTAGCGGTGGTGTTCCTCTTCGTGTTCGAGTTCATCTTCACTGTGGGATACTCGGGGTTGACTTTCCTGTACGCTACGGAAGTCGCACCACTGCAGCTGCGAGCGGCCATCAGTGCAGTTTCAACAGCTGCCGTCTGGACCTTCAACTTCCTCCTAGCTGAAGTGACGCCGGTGGGCTTCGATACGATCGGATACCAATACTACATCATCTTCGCGGTGTTGAACGCAGTGATCGTGCCGACCGTGTACTTCTTCTTCCCGGAGACGAATGGTCGGTCGCTGGAGGAGATTGACGAAATCTTTCTGCAGTCGAAGAGCATTTTTGACCCACCGCGACTGGCAAGGACGTTGCCACGGATGCATCTGGCAGAGGTGGTGGATGATCCGGAGGAGGTGGCCGATGCGAAGGTGGGCAAGAGTTGACGGTAATGACTGATGATTATGACATGCTTGATTGAGGATCATATAGCTTTCGAAGTTAGTTAAATTGGACATGTTTTGTACGCATCCCTTGCTTCTTTCCAGCTATTGTTCACTGTAGATAGGTCACCTGACCGGATGTGGTGTTGCTCAATTTGTTTCTGTTTGACGGGTTTGAATTTCAACTTCGCCAACTTCAATTTCAGTTCCATGTCACCTTCACCATTCCCTACCATGTCTCCTCCCGATCCATCTATTTTGGCTGTGCAAATGGCAGCGTGAGATGGAAATGAACATACTTGGGATGCTCCGGGGAGAACAAAGAACCAGCCACAGCGTAAAGCTCGAGGCTTCCGGAGCTCGTCTCACAATTATAAGGTTCGAACGGATGCAGAATCCCCTCACCAAATCAGTCTGAAATCAGGCCCAGACTGAATCTTCAGGAAAATGGCGTTCCGTGGAGATCCGCAGACTCAAGAGACGAGTGGCTGCTTGTTCTAGTAACTCCACAGCCCCTCCGAGCCCGAGCTAAAGATCCACACTGACGCAGTTGCATCCATAAGACTGAGAGCTACACCACCCTGGCCGGCCATGGCAGGTCGTTTCGAGCCATACGAAAAGATACACAAAATACCCAGGCAATTGATACAATTGAACATTCATATTCATTACATACATGTCATAAACATTATTTTTTCCCCGACCGCGGTCAATTTACCGCACGGTGTATCCTCCGTCAATGATCAAATCGGCACCCGTCGTGTATGTGCTGGCATCACTGGCGAGATAGACATATGCACCCTTCAGCTCCTTGGCATCACCATTCCGTCCCATGGGAATCATGGACATCCACAGATCCTGAGTCTTCTTCTCCACAAAGTCTGACAATCCCGTGTCGATGTAACCCGGG